AGAATAAGCAACTAATAAAATCTTATCATACAAATTTATAAAGACATCTGTTAATAAAAGAGCGTTTATAACGTTCAGTTCTTACTAAAGGCAGCTCAAACTGGTGACCTCTCTGCCTTAAAGGTCTATTAATCATATTCGGTAATAATTCTTGTAATGAGTTATGTTCATTATTTATAATAGCTGACGGTATAGTTGATTCCAGCTGTAGACTAAATTTTGATCAGGGCAAGAAGAACGAAATCCAACATCACAGCTAGAAAGAGCGTCTTAGAATGAGTAAAACTGCAAAGATTGGTTGCTAAATGTTGTAAAATGAAGAAAATATAGCCCTGTGAAGTTCGCAAATTTTGTATGTATTTGTATTACGCGCGGTAAAAATAACCACTTTCGGCTCAAAAATAGTTGTTTTTCCCGCGCGTAATGCAAATATATACAAAATTTGCGAACTTCACAGGGCTATATTTTCCTCATTTTACAACAATTCGCAACCAAACTTTGCAATTTTACTCATTTGAAGATTCTCCAGCTATATGGTAATGGATTTTCTTGTCCAGATCAAAATTTCGTCTATAAATGGAATCATTAATTGGAGTTAGTTTCATGTCCATGTCGTTTCTTACCGCGCTTGCATTCGCGCTACGGCATCAACTATTTCGCTGACCTCAGAATGACATTTCGTCAAAAAAATTTTTCTTCAAGATTGGTATAGAAACAAATTTGGAGTAGGGTTAGGTTAGGGTAAGGGTTAGAATTGGTGTTTGGAGTAGTGTTAGTGTTAGTAAAACCGTTGCTTTGTTACGTTTGGTCACTCTGAGGCCAGCGAAATAATCTCTTCCTCCTGCTACAGGTGGACAAAGCAAATCAACGTCTTCTCAATAACAACACGTCGTTAATGTACACAGCCGAGGCAAGCATTGAGACGAAGCTTGGCGACGCCCAGGGCTGGAAAGATGTCCTCACGGCTGCCGGGTTTCGCTTCAGGAAGGCGGCAAAGAATTTACCTGACGCCGTGTTTTTCCCGCTCAAAGATGAGAAAGGAAAGTTACGACAGTGTGGCGACATTTTACGATCGTTACTGGGTATGTTAGATAAAGAAATATCATTATTCAAGATTTCAGATTTCTAATATGGGCATCGCCATGTCATTCCAATCTCTTCTCCACAGGAATGCGACAGGCACGAACATTCATCCCTGTCAACTACTGAGACCTGCTCGTAGTCACTGAGAGACTATTTTCCTTTGTTGAGGCTTGCAATTTTTTAGTTGATTTATTATTATTAATGATTAATAACTCATCGCACGAAATGAATTACAATTTACCATGTGTTTTACAATTTTGGTAAAAATTAGCTATGAACAAAATCTAACTATACTACAATGTATCATTAAGACACTGATCATGCTAGGGGGAAAACTGTTACCCTGGAAGAATACAATTTGGGTACAACATTAACGTTGTGTTGAGCGAGTAATAATAATGTCTGTTATTGCAAAGTCTAAAACTCACTCACAGATTTAGTTAAAGCCGCGTTGTTTAACCAATAAGCCCTCTTGGTTGTAGTGCGTCCATAAATAAATTACTTACTCTATATTTTGAACTATTTGTAGGACTGAGTCCAACAACATTGCAAGCAACGTCCAAGGTTCTATCATCCCCGAGTCTTGTGAGGGCTCTCTTAGATTTGGTGAGTATGTAATCAAACTAGTCTCATTCGTAACCTCGCTAGCCCGACTCGACAACATAAAGCGTAGATAAAGGTGTCAACAGAAAATTTTAAGCAGCTGCAGGAAATTTCTTAGGTTGAAAATCTGATCCATGCAGGCCTAGAAAATACTGATATTTCTCTCCTGGCAGCAAAATCCCAAAATAGAAATTCCTGTGTAAGTCAAATATAGAACTACCCTGGTTCCAGAGGTTTAAAATAAACCTCTGGTTGAAAGCGGCAATTGATTCATCGAGCCGCGCCAATCAGTTTGAATTAGGGTCAGATTCTGACTCTGTCTCCTGATTGGATGATTGGATTAAAGCTCTCTGATTGGTTATAGATGTTTTATTTGAATCAATCAGAGAGCTTTAATACAATCATCCAATCAGGAGACAGAGTCGGGATCTGGCCCTAATTCAAACTGATTGGCGCGGCTCGATGAATCAATTGCCACTTTCAACCAGAGGTTTATTTTCCCTCTCCCCTTCGCAATGATAATAATAAAAATAAACCTCTGGAACCAGGGTAATATAGAACATCTATTTCAAAAACTGTATATTTCGAATCTATTTTTATTCATCTTCAGCAGTATTTTTACAAGATATTAAATATAAAACTAACTGCATATGTAGATTTCAGAGAATGTATGGTAGTAAACTTCAATAATCTCGACTTGCAAAATGCTTTTGTAAACAATAAGTAAATTTATGCATTCCAGTATGTAAGATGACAAAAAATTTTCTGCAAGATGTAAAATTTCCTGCGAAGATATTTTGTTGAAACTTTCCTCGCAGGGTTGATTTGAGTTTGGAATCCATGGTTGACAGAAATTCTTTATGGGCACAGAAATTCTTTATGGGCTACTACATTTAACACAAAAATACTGTAGAAGTAGATCTAAGGAAGAGTTTTCAACTAACTGTCAATGCTCAACGTTTAGTTCAACTTGGTGCTGTCGAGTTTTGCGAAAGGTTTGAACAATGTTCAAGTACCACTGCCGCTCAATCTCTGGCATATGATTGGCTGTCATGAACTGCTGGCGTCAATGGCATTTGATCTACTTGGTGTAGGGAAAAATGAAGTGATGTTGCGGTCAGGAGGGGTAAACAGTCGTCGTGTCTTGCAATGTGCTGTCGTCGCATTGAACACTTTGACTGGTAAGTACTTCGATCTCGTCAAAATAAAGTTAGACTGTGGTATTCATCCTTTATTGCAAGCGATTGCTTCCACACGGCAAACTCTCAATATCTACTCCTTGTAGGTGGGCTAGGAACAGACAATATTGAATTCAACGGTGAGTTTCCGTTGCGTCGTGCCGGCTCAGATTCCAGTCTGAAGAGTTCAGTTTCAACTATATCCAGCTTTAGCTACGCCAGTGCCGAGCGCACGATCCAGGCACGATCGTATCACGGTAGTTCACGAAGAAGTCACGTGAGTGACATCGAATCAATTCTTGATGACCTTGAGAAATGTCAAGAGGAATCGAGCGTTGACCCAGAGATCGCCGATGACGTTCCGAACACTCCCGATAATATTCCGATAAATTCCGAAAGCCGAGCGCTGTCACTGGACAAAAAACGTAACACCAGAACAAACAGCTCACAAAATATAAATTCTCCTAAACTAAGCGAAACGGATGGACTTAAATTTGGCAGTTCATCTCCTTTTATCAATAACAATACTTTGGCTCCGCCTGAAGTAACCGGAAGTCCACTGAGCCCGTCATCACCCAGCGGTAAACCATTCGTGTCCAGTCCTGTCCGCATGAACGGTCACATGAATGGACTCTGGGAAAATCCCACCATGATGGCAAAATCTCCGGTCATTGATCGAACATCATTTCCGTTTCCGTCACACTTTCGTGAAACTTCGGATTCCCTCGAATCAGAGTCGTCAACAAGCGTGAGTAGTCCCGGACATAAAACCCCCGGAAGTATTAACCTTATGCAACAGCGTGTGAATGGCGTTAGCCGTGACCATGGCGATAAGCATGGCGTGAGCAGTTTACGTAACCATGGTGATACAAATGGTGTCGATAGATCGCCGCAGATGAGAAGAGGGAACTTACGCCGGGGGCTTAATGCCGTAGAACACGAAGTCGATCTGTCACATGACATTGACGAGACACTTGACCTCACACATGATCAAGATCCATTACGTCATCAGGACGTGACAATCCGATCGAGATCTGTTTCATTTGGTAGCATCGCTGACAGTGACGATACCACCGACCACAAAGATCGCAGACCGAACGATGTTGAGACTTTCCACGCATTTATTCAAAACACGCGTGGGACTCGCAGGACGCTGTACACGCGTGGGGATAATGGTAATATAAATAAAAGATTCTCGAAATCTGAAGAAATTTTACAGTCTGTTGGAAAGGCCCACGAGCCACGCGAGATTTTCTCCATGGAATTCGATACAGACACCAATAGCATGATGAGTGATAGAGCACGTGATTCTGACGTCACTTCCGGTGTCTCAAGCAGTTCAAGTTATCTGGAGGCGCGGTTACAAAATGGCGGTAGAACTCATCCACAGGCCAACCACACGAGAAACCTGAAGAGGGAATATTTAGCGAATTTAAAGAATCTTCAAGCTTCATCATGTTAATAGAATTATCATGTTAATATAATCTTTTCAAACATAGTTTCACCTTTATTGTTTTAGATATAGCATACATTCTTATTAAATAGGAATACCAACTTGTAGACATAAAAGTTCTGGGACCATTGCCCTTGTGGTGGTTCTGGCGCCCCTGGTTAAGGTATCTTCAAAAGAAAGCGTTAATTATTTGACAATGTCATTGTGATTGAATGTTGATTTAGACATCAAAGATGTTTTTATAAATGTTTGAGTGGAAATGTAAAAAACTATGTTTTCAAAGAAAATTAATCCTTCCATCAATTTTGAGATAGATAGACGAAACTGTAAGGTAAAATAAAGATATTTTTCTATTTCAAAAGTATTTACCAACTTTGAAGGTTTCGTTTAGTTTAGACATCTTCCTTCACACGCAGTTTATATTGGTGGGTTTCAGTGAGCGTTAAGCCCGGATGAGAGTGCATGAGAGCCAGTGCCAATCATGCAACCTTGGTTAACTGTTCTTACTGTCGTTCCAATTGAAGTGTTGCTCAAATATTGATTCAATACATTACCTCAGGCTGACCAATTCATTTCATCAAGTTCCTCGAAATATTCATACACTTCCTAGTATAATTATTGTAAACTTCCTGTTGAATAGTTTGAATGCACCAATCACCTTTGTTGTTTGTGCAACTAACCAATCATAAATAGAAAGGAAGTGACCAAAAATGATCAAATTCTTGGAATTGGCTCTTTCACAGGAAGTGTATGAATATCTCGAGGAACTTGATGAAATGAATTGGTCAGCCCGAGGTAATGTATTGAATCAATATTTGAGGAACACTTCAACTGGAACGACAGTAATGCTTTCCCAACACTATCATGTATTCTGTTTAAGTTAAAACATAGAACACTCATCAAACCTATACTTTGTTAATCTACAGTGCGTATAAAAAAAACCTGAACCCTTTCAAATTCAAATTAGCTATAACGTATTGTAGTAATTTGACAGCTCTAATTGCTTTGAATTAATGGTTGGGTAAGAACACAAGCAACGTCTTGTACTCATGGGACGAAACTCGAAGAAATAAAAATTAGAAAATTTAAAAGTTTTTAAGAGTTTTGTCCCATGAGTACAAGACCTTGTGTTCTTACCCAATCATTAATTCAAAGCAGTTAGAGCTGTCAAATTACTACAATACGTTATAGCTAATTTGAATTTGAAAGGGTTCAGGTTTTTTTTATACACCCTGTAGAGCTTGAAATGTCCCCTGTAACAATGCGTGGCTGCCAACTCTCATCCTCGTTTCATCCGGGGCTTTACGCGACCCAGCTGGTGGTAACTGCTAGTTAATTACCATCTGCTGCACGATAAGAGCACTAGTGCTTAGTGGAACCCAACTAAACAGCACAGCTAAAATTTACCGGTGTATAAAACATACATGATGCACTTTAAAATTTAAATGTATTTAAAATTTTGACATGATTTGCAGTTTGTGAATTGAATGAACTGGATAAGGGTTATTTATATTGTGACTTGTAATTATCATTAAATTATATTACTTTTTCCAGTACAACTAAATGTTAGTTTTATGAGAAACGAATCAAATCTAAGATTCATAAATTTTGATATTGCCTGTATCGATTGTGTAATGCATGATTAATGGTATTTTTCATACTAAAATATGAATTGTAAGCTTTCGCAAATATGTATATATATAATCAGTGTACATTAGCGGCCATTTAATAATAATATAAATTATAATCATGAAAATTGTATAATCTGTAAGCACTATATATTTATATGCAAATACGTTAATTAAACACTATATAAATTTACCGCAGATGCAATGTGTATATATGGAGCACTTGTTTAATTATATAATTTGGTATTTGTTGAGCGAAGAATAAACAAATTTGTTTGACTTGTGAAGTATTGTAAACCAAAACTAACTTTCTTTACACTGGATAGCTCATTCAGTTCTGAACTGCTCTCCCTAGAGGCCCAGTAAGGGTTATCTCAGTCTTACTATATACAGGAGGAAACTTGCATGTGCTGTTTGGTAGAGTCAAACCAGTGGCGGACACTTTTCAAACATGCAACAAAAAATCGACAATGACATTTAAAGAAGTGCCTGTTGCAAAAAGTTGACCCCCTAGTATCTGTCAAAAAGAGTGTATAAAAGTATAGTGTACAGTACAGAAACATATATTATTATATTATGATGACAATTACGTTATATGAACGTGATTTGTGTTATTTGGTACACGATTTTTACAGTCTTTCAAAATTATTGGGGTGGGGGGCTCGGGGCCCCCCTAGCTCCCCTCCCCCTAGTGTGCCCGCCACTGAGTCAAACGTAATTGAACAATTCTGAAATTATTATAAAAACTGAATACTGCTTGAATCGAACCGACCAGTATCCCACCAAATACTAACAACAACTCCCAAAGTCCCAACATCCCTTTATAGAAAATCAAACAAAAAATATGAAACGGTTTCGCATTTCTTCCAATATAAGTTTCAATATCTTGCCAGTTTTTGACTACTAATCTTGTATATACAAGCTTGATAATAAAGTACATTGTGTGTGTTTCACAATATTCATATCTTGTCCTACATAGTAAGACAATTTAGCAGTTCATGTCCCTCTTGCCTCGGCCACGGAGGACGGCCTGCTGTCCACGACGACGTTCGGCCACGTTTCCTGAACCAGCAGGGCGCAGCGCAGGAAGAATGACGCTGTTTTGATCGTAATGTGCTGTTCTCCCGTTCAACCTGAAAAAACGGGAAAAAGTGGGAAGATGCGTTGAATGATTCGCTGAAGTTAACAATCAATTATTCGGCGAAGGCGAGGTGATTATCGGAGAATATTCGCCGAGACGAAGCCGAATATTTCCCGATAATCACCGAGCCTGAGGCGAATAATTGTTTTAGTATTTTTGTGTTTTTGGGGGACTAAATTTATTTTAATTTTGCTTATTTCTTTATCAGTATAATGGCCACATAACGGCTAGCCGCCATTTTGAAAATTTCGGTTTGTTATATTCACCTATAGGTGAATATAACCGCTTAATACGTCAAATTTGACCAATCAATTTGTAGGATTTGTTATGTTTACTTGTGCAAAAATACTAAACACAGGGTGTCCACAGGCCTGGAAAGTCCTTGAATTGGGAAAAAAAATTCTAGGACTGGAAAGTCCTTGAAAATCAGTAGAAGTCCTTGAAAGTCCTGGAATTAATTTCCTTAACCTCCAGCTGTGCCAACATTAGTGATTTTGATTAAAATTACTGAATAAAGTGAATCAAAGAGGGGCAAATCCGTGCCATTTTCAAAGATTTTTCCCAGTTCTAGGTCCCTCGATTCTACTGAGAAAGGGCCTTGAAAGTCCTGGAAAAGTCCTGGAATTTCACCAAAGGGTGGACACCCTGCAGCAAACAACAGAAGTAATAATGGATCTTGGTGCATGTTAAGTGGTGAGTGTGTCTTTCATTTCTGTGACCGAGGTTTGATTCCTGCAACATCTAGTCTGATTATAATTTCACCTCTCTCGAACCAGAAATCGTAGCTGTTCCGCGCGGGTACACTTTCTTCTCCCTGTATCAACAATACACTAATAACGTACGGATGATCTTTACTGCATGGGTCTCTAGCGAGAAGAGTTTGGAACTGAGCTATCCAGTATAAATGTTGTATCATATAACTTACGTTTTTGTGACGAGGTAAGTATCGGGTGAAAATTTCGCGGCATAACTGTCCTCCTTCATTTCTTCTTTTAATTTTGTTAGCTGAAGGAAAAGAACGTACATTCACTCACATATATAATTGAAATGCTTGGTTACCTTTGTTCCATTCAATGCTTACATTATCAGAACAGTGGTAACTAGGCATGTGAGTTATCAATTCACTCACATATATAATTTAAATACTTGGTTACCTTTGTTCCATTCTATGCTTACATCAGAACAGTGGTAACGAGACATGCAAGTTATCAATTCACTCGCATATATAATTGAAATACTTGGTTACCTTTGTTCTATTCTATGCTTACATTATCAGAACATGGTAACTAGGCATGTGAGTTTTCCCACCCAATTCACTCACATATATCATTTAAATGCTTCAAGATTACCTTTGTTCCATTCTATGCTTACACAATCTCGTACCCAGAGCAATGCCTGTGCGCGGGCTAGGATGGCATTGGCTCTGGGGAAATTGAATTTTTCCTGTGCTGTGATTGGTTTAACGTTTATCAATTGTGCATGCCAACAAAGAACCGGAACCCCTAAATTTAGGCGTTCCGCTTGTCAATTTCCCCAGAGCCAATGCCATCCTAGCCCGCGCACAGGCATTGCTCTGGGTACGAGATTGATGATTACATTATCAGAACAGTGGTAACTAGGCATGCGAGTTATTTGAAAATGTGATTTGGCTGGCAATGGGCAATGAACATGTAACTAGGTCTATATTGTACAGTGGTCATGGATTAGATGAGATTAACTGAGATCATATTGTCAGGGCTGGACTAGTGTAGGAAACCTACCTCTTGGCCTTGTTTCTTGTTCGTGTCCTCGAGATAATGTATAATATCCTTACATTCTGACATCGTCGGTGATCTGGACCCGGCACCAGTAGGAGGTTGAACGTAGATTTCACCTTTCTTACCAAACCTGACTTGAAGTACTGTAGTTTTCCCAGGGCTAAACAGGTTTACATGGTTTATGTTCTGATCTCGTAAACTCTCGCGACTTGATAAATTGTCCGCGCTCTTCGAAACAAAGCGCGCGTCTGGCGTATCGTTCATATTCTGGGAGTTGTGTATCTTGGCGTTACTGTGACTGGATACTGGTGGTAGAGTTCTGTATCGTTTGCTTGATAACTCCCTGCAAGTTTACAACAATGAAATAAGAATTAAAGGAGGCCGATTCATTAAAGGCCTGTTTACACTTCGGCCTGTTTGCTGCGATTTTAAGTGCGATTTTCTGATGGATGTGGACGAGTTATCAATGTTGAGATGAAGGTACGTAAGTCTAGTTTCCATTTGGTCGTTAGTTGTCGCTGGCACGACAAGTTCCTGATGTAATAGAGTGTCAACAAAACTTTATAAAACTCTGCAATCATTAATAAGACTGATTTGCATATCACGCAAAAAGACTATGTAATGTTTAATAAGTTTTATTATAGGTTTAAAGCCAATGCACTGCACGTGACATATTATGGTTGACATGATTTGCCAATAAGCTTATGAATTATTAATGAGTGTTTGAATATTATATTAGACCATTTCACATCTACCGCTTGTCGTGCCAGCGACAACTAACAACCAAATGGAAACTAGGCTATACAGCTATTTCAATTAAGGTTGTCCCCGAGCAAAGCGGAAAATCGAATACGAGCGCGAAAGGCTTGCTGGGAATCGCTAAAAAATCAGCAAGCCTTTCGCGCTAGTATTCGACTTTTCCGCTGTGCTCGGAACTCCAAACATTCATACTCATCTACTTGTTCACATGCATCAGAAGAGGAAAATCGCAGCAAAAATTGCAAATTTGTAAACAGGCCTCTATAGCGTAAACACTGAACGTAATTCTGCAACGCGAGGGGCGCGATTACAGTTTACTTTTCATTATCAAGGAGCTTAAGCATGTAACGTTTTTGCAACACAGACGTCAGATTGCCGAGGAGGACTGGATTAATGAAGAACAGTTTAGAACTGATAGAATACCCAGAATTTAAAAAATTGCTTTTTAGCTTTTACTTCAAAAACATTTGACTTAATTTCTTTCACAGGCATTTTTTTCTATTTAACTTCAAAAACTGAAAATTCGCGTTAGGTCGCTGGCGCTGCTTTGACAAAGTATTTTAAATCTTTTTCCTGGTGGTTTCTGGAGACATAAACCGCAGCAGCTTCATCATAATTCGTTCTCACCTTTCGCTCAAACGCTTTGATAAATCAACATTTTGTTTCTGAGATTCGATCAAAGATAATTTCATGTTCTTGATCTCGTTTTCCAAACGTCGGATTTTGCTTCTATAGTAACTACCGCTGGCTCTCTGTTTTGACTCTGCAGTGGTGGCTGAAAGATTGCGCAAAATACCGTAAGTTGTATTCAGCAGTGAGAAGCAGATCGTGCATGATCGTCAACTTGCAGTTATCAGAGTGAGAAAACAATGTTTATTTTGGGTATAAGATACAGCAGTTTCTCATGTTATTATTACTGGGGGGCAAGCCCGGGGTGGGTATTCACTGGTAGATGCTGAATTTTTTCAGGGGTCTTTGGGTTTGGGGGGTACACCTCATACTTCCTTGGAAACTTTACTTTTGGACAGAACAATAGGGTTTAAGGGTGATAATGTTTGGGTTAGATTAGGTGGGTGTGGGGGGGGGGCACCTGAGAAAAATATGGAGTGGGATTATGGGAACAAGATTTGAAGAGTGGGGGAAATTTAAGACACTTGAAACCAGAAGGATTGCTGTGGGTAGTGGGGGGAGGGGGGATAGGCAAGCCAACTGCTGTGTATGAGAGAATGTAACCATTAAGGGGTCGACTTTGCACACCTGTTAATGGGGGGAGGGGTTCTCTAAACACAAGCCACCCCCTTGCATTTAGTTGGAGGGATGAGATTTATAGAATTAATATTTGAAGAGGTGTGGGGCACTTGCAATCTGTTATTAAAGGTTTCTGAGTTATAAATTTGTAGTTTTCTAAATTACCTTAACTAATTTTGCAAGATTTCAAAAATGTATATTTTCTTAGTGGCCATAATTTTGGTAAATTTCAGCAGTTTCTTATAAATTATTTATTTCAAAAGCCAAAAGTTTGGGTTTTTAAAAAATTAAAATTTAATTAACTGCAGTTTACCATAATTATCAAAACACAGCTGTGACTCAGCCTCTATTTACTTTACAACCTATTTAATAAAACATTGTTTCTTGTCGTCGAACGAACCTGATGTTGGAACAGAATTTTCATTTGTCACAATTAACTTGAAATTTAATTCTATAAAAATAAAAACATTTGTACAGTTACCATATAAATGCATTTTCCCTTTATAAATATTCCCATCGCCTAAAAAATGTTTAATCTGTAAAATGAATCGGGAATTATAGCTCGGTTTTAAAACCAAGTGAGATCATTTTGAACGCGTTTTGACTTATGAGGGTATGCAAATATGTAGATAAAATTAATTTTAACCAAAACAAAACCTTTATTTTCGCTTTTAAGCTTTTCGATTTCCTCATGTAGCTTCAAAAGTGTTTCTTGATGTTGTTCTTGTAAAAAAGAAATACTGTTCTGTAATTGTGCCTCCTTTCTTGACCTCGCTTTCTCCGGAGGTGACAAAGGTGCCGAAACAATTCGGCTAGTTGCTTTTGCAGAATGCGCTAGTTTTAATCCACTGTCTCTACGAATCGGTGAGGGGATCCCAGCTTGATTCTTGCTCGAGGTACCAACTGGGTCCTTTGTTATTGATCTCTGTACTTTCCGTCTTTCTAAAGAACTCCGAGACCACGAAGGCAAGTTTGTTAATGGCGGTAGCTTCGACATTACATTGACACACACGTTTATGCTATAATTGCTACAACAAAACAGTTTCCAAAATTCAACAATTTTATACGTTATGCTTTCTTTTCATATGAAAAAAACAACGGCGAATACAGTGTCTTGTCCCGTCCAAACTCTACTAGGATTTCCTTCCAGTAAAACAGACAAAAACGAGCAAAAATTAAAAATACATTAATTAAAACTCTCGCACATCAATTTTAAGCTGCCATCTTTCAAAGTATTTTTGATACAGCGATAAATTATCTTGCGTTGCTAGGATACCAGACGTGAGCAACTTTATAATTTATGAAAGGCAGAAAAATTACAATGTTTAGCCAAAACTAACCGCATAATTAAACAATTTCTCGCCTTGAAAGGAAGGCTTTTCTTAAATAAAATGTAGTATTGTGGCATGAAATGTGATGTGTTCCTTGTTTTTTTTTGGGTTTTTTTCTAAATCCACAGTTTACTGTAATCCATATTTTGATAGATTTTTATATCAAAAGAATATATTATATTCTGTTCGGGAACTGTCGAAATATTTTCGGAGTTCGTCGGAAAAGTCAAAATTATTCAATATGGCGGCAAATTGAAAGTTTAAAAATTGGAGAAAAACACAAGAAATATGTTTTAGAAGAAGTTCCATGCCAAGTACGTATGCTTTTAGCTTGTACAGTGTTTGGTAGTTTAAATATAATGTTTTAGTTTGTTAAAAGGTATATTATATGTAACATAAATATGTACTGTTCTTATGAATTTCATGATACAGAATTTTTAAATATTAATTTTATGACTTCGCTGCCCTAAAGCATATCGGGTATGTACATTAGTACATTTACAAACTATTCACAACAATCTGTTTCCATATTAATAAAGCCCTGGGCTAACTGCAAACCAGGAAACAGTGTTCCCTAGCCAATGGCAAGGTGAACAAATCTGGAAATATCACAATTAATATGAGGAAATATTGTTTCCTAGCCCAGCTAGCCACGTTTCCCAGAGATGGACAAACTGTAAAACATTGTTGCAGGACAAACACACTCTTGAGAAAAAACATGTTCATAAATTTGTTGGGGATCACAGTGCTCGATATAACGTTTCCAACGTTCCCGATCATGCTGAAAGCAGTCATGATTTTCTGCTGATCAAATGAAAATCTGGCCAATCAGTATAGGATACGTTCTGTGTATATGTTCTGTGATAATACCATAGTATTGCATGGTGTTCATTAACAACATTAACCATGTTTTTGAGACGATGGTTCTTGCCGATCAAGATGATCGACAATCTTGCTTCTCTGCCAATCAAAAGCAATTTCCTGCTGATCATAAGCAATTTCCTATTGATCGTTGATCGGCCGTTATTTCGTCCCCTGGGATCATTTTTGCTTCCTTAAGTATTGGTCATGCAACAGTATTTTCAAGGGTTGGCAAACATTGAAACATTTGAAGAAACATCTTCCCTTTCTCTTCCTTGCTTCACTAGCAATGGCTGCAGTTGAGAGAAGCCATATTGGTTTCCGCGGACCATCATCGATCCCCCTTGGCAAACACCACGACACTGACCCCTCTCAACATATGAACCAACTCCAATTCAATCTCCATGCCCCTTACTCCATCCACTCCTTGGCATCAAATTTCCAAAAACCTCAACCTTTGGTCATAGAGAAGTTTCCTGTTCTCCCAATGAGTGGGCCAACCAAGCATCCTGTGGTACACCATGATGCACCAATACCCTCGTCCCCAGCCTCCTCTGTGTCGAGCGAACGCTTGCATTTTGCTGTGCAGCTTGCTAAGATTGACGCCAAGAAATTATGGAGGAAACAGAAGGAGTTGCAAGAATCAGAGGAAGAAGGGTGGGAAGAAGTCAAGCAGGATGATTTAAGAAAAATGAAGGCAACTCAAGTGAAAGGTGCAAGGAAGTTAACTCAAGATGCAAAGAGACCTAATGTTGGTTATGTTCAACATAAAGTATGTCACACTCGTTTGCATAACTATATAATATATGTCATTAAAAATATAATTTCTTAAAAATTCATTAGGGTCATTCTAGAAAACATACACCTCCCCCTGCCTCGTCCCCAGGCGCTAATAAAAAATTTCATGCGAGTCACTATATGAAAGATTTACATGAAGTAGTGCGTTGCGACGAACAAGCGCAGGGGTTTATGGGCTTGCTAACCAGAACGCTCATATCCCACTCCCCTTTGCGCGCCTATAATGTGACGCACTACTTCATGTAAATCTTTCATATAGTGACTCGCATGAAATTTTTTATTAGCGCCTGGGGACGAGGCAGCACCTCCCCTGTGGAGAAAATTGGAAGTTAACCCCTCTTAGAAGTTAATGCCCTTACCTGCCTCGTCCCCAGGCGCTAATAAAAAATTTCATGCGAGTCACTATATGAAAGATTTACATGAAGTAGTGCGTCACAATAGTGACTCGCATGAAATTTTTTATTAGCGCCTGGGGACGAGGCAGTGCCCTTACTATTATCAGAAACAATTTTTGCTCGCCTCCTCGAAATTCCCTTCATGGGGGGAGTGTGGATCTTTTCTGGAATGACCCATTTATATCATGACAATATGTCCATGCTGTCGACTTTCCATATTAGCCATTCCGAAGTTGATGAGAGGACTGGGGAAGAATGTTAAAAAGTGCCCAAATTATTAAATGAACCAAATCACTAAAAAGACCACATCAAAATTAGTAAGTATACAAAGTTTGAAGATGTTTACATGAATACCCTTCGAATAATAAGCTTTCGAAAATCGCGATATTTACTGTGACATGTAGTGTAATTTTTGTTTTTGGGGATGCACATCCCAAAAACAAGCTTTTAATCAGTAATTTCACAATTTTAGAAAGCTTATTATTCGAAGGGTATTCATGGAAACGTCTTCAAACATTGTATACTTACTAATTTTGCACTTTTTAACACTCGTCCCCAGTCCACTCATCAACTTTGGAATGGCTAATTGGGTAATTCCAGAAAACATCCACACTATGCCCACAGAGGAAATTGGAAGTTAACCACCCCACCCCCTTCAGATGTCCTAGTACATTTACTATTATCAGAAGTAAATTTCGGGGGCTGTGTAAATGTTTTCTGGAACGATGCATTGCTACAAAGTGTTGAATTAAATTGTTTAGAGTAAGAAGGATAATGAAGTCAAAAGGAACCTACGCGAGCATCAGTTCTTCCCAAACTCAGAAGAACATGGTGGTTCTGAAGAAAAACAGTCACGAGAAGTCAGAAGACTAGAGAAACAAATTCAAACCTATTTGCAAAGACTTGATGGTCTCATTCATAAGGTAGCTTGCAAAGTTTGAACAGATTAAAGTTTAAATGGACCTTTCCCCTTATAACTAAAATTTTGATCTAGATAAAAATTTCATCACAGCTTGAAAGAGCATCACAAAATTAGTAATATTCCAAAGTTTCGTTGCGAAATGTTGTAAAATGCGGATAATATAGCCTTGCGAAATTTGCCGTTTTTCAGTCATTTTGTAATTTACCACAGTTAGGTATTACGCATGGGAAATTGACAGCCCAATCGGGCCGTGTTGGGGTATCAATTTTCCGTTGGTAGTACAAAATGACTGAAAATTGCAAACTTCGCAGGGCTATATTATCCGCATTTTACGACATTACGCAACGAAATTTCGGAATATTACTAATTTTGTGATGCTCTTTCAAGCTGTGATGAAATTTTTGTCCAGACTTGTTTAGATCAAAATTTTAGTTATAAGGGGAAAGGTCCATTTGATGTCGTTTCCTAGATAGTTGAGACACCAACCACGATAGCTTACAATGTTTCATTCTGTAGAGTCAAGAAGTGATTCAAAAGAAAGACAAAAGACTTCACGTAAGAAGAAATGATAAGTATGACGCGAGTCATCTTTCTGACGAGGACACAGATCCTCGTCAGTATGAGAGAGCAGAAGAACAAGCGACGAGATCTGCCAGAGTACTGTATATGATTGAAAGACAGGTAAACTATCACCCTTTCTGTTTATTATACCATTGGGTATCGTGCAGCAGATGGTGATCAACCTGCAGTTATCAGAAAAAATGGAAAAAATAGGCGAGCACGCGAGCATTGCTCGCAGGATATGTTAAACAGCTGCAGGAACTTCGTTTGAACGAAGATTTGCTATTGATTTGCTACCCATGTCCCATTCATTCATTCACTCATGTCTCATTCATTCATTTCATTCATTCATGTTTATGCACATACAGATTTATCACAAAAATACTCCGTTGGTCTGCAGGAAATTTTTGTCTCCAGGTTGTGCTTCCAAGAAGAAAATTATTTTTTCCTGCCCTGAAAATAATGTCAATTCTTTTCATTGTCTTGTATTTGGATGTGAATAAGTGGAATTGAGAGGAGTAGTTTAATTAGCCTTTCTCATGCCGCCATTTTTGGGTGGCATTTCTGCCGAAGTCTGCGAGATAAGTCCACATAACAGCGACTTTTTATAATTTTTTGGATGAATGATGGTAAATTTGCTTTGTAAAAGGTTAGTTTGTTTTGAAAAATTGCTTTTCACTTTTAATTGTCTGCATTGGTTAACGAAAATTTGATGCCACCCAAAAATGGCGGATATTCGTCATCGTGAGAAAGGCTAATTGTCTTGTTCCAATAAGTGTCAACATCTGCTGTTCTGTAAAGCTTGTGAAAATTCTTTCATTTAGGTTCGAGAACTGGATGATGAAATACGTAGAAAAGGGAGAAATATGAAACAATCGAAGAAGGTATATAGTAAAAATTATATAATTGGGGAATTGATAGATAGTTCGTCTGGTAATACGTTTGTGTACAGGTGTAGTCATCCATCCGTCAGGACAAATTTCTTTACTAAGTCTAAGACTGTCTTAGTAAGACATGTGTATTAACGGCTTATTGACAGAGCGTGAGGTCTGTACTGTGAAATATCAGACTGAGGTTTTTTAGTATGGACCGAGCGACGAAGGAGCGAGGTCCACGCAAAAAACAGAGGTCTGATATTTCACAGTACAGACCGGACAAGTGAGGTCAATAATCGGTTTATTATATTTATATGGCTGAACTGAGTCTGTGAGCATGTGCTTTTCGCGCGAATTAAATCGGCTATCGTCAGTTTCACTGGATACGGAAAATACGGACCACGGTCCGGATATGGGTTTTTACGAACCGCTTGTCAACCAATCAGAATAGCCATGAAATAATTCATCTTAACAGGTGATACATCTACTGTAAGTGTACAAAATCAAATACGACATTAGAAAAAATTATCATGAAAATATCAGGCATGATTTGTTCCCAGAACCCTTGTCAGTATAGATCACGCTATTCTAGTCTTGTGTTTAAACTGAAATGGATGATCCAATGATCCAGCACAAGAATCAATGGTTCAAATTCTGAATTACTTTCTCTAGAATCAAACCCTTGGACGTCTAGCGGCAGCCCAGCGAGCCACAGTACGAGCCTTACGTATGCTGATCAACAGTGCCCCCCTACAACCCAAGAAATCCCAACATTACCCCTCAATCTATCAAGCACTTACCTCTCTTATCCAACAATTATCCTTACTGGCCATCCAAATCGAGGAAGGTGATGATGGAACGATGATACAGGTAAAACTGTAGGAGACTGAGACAACACAGACAGATACTGGGTAGTTCTTTCTTTCTAAACTGCTCTTGCTAGAGGTTCAGTAAGAGGCATCCCTATTGGTGTAGTGTTACTACAAGAATAGCCTACGTAGCAGAACTAGGGGGAGGGGGGAGGTCAACCTACCGTACTACAAGAAGAAATCGTAGTACCTGGAGAAAACATACAGTGGTGTTTGCTAGAGTCAAACTGGAAGAACTTTTTTAACATGTGACTGAGACAGAATTATAAAGCCTTGGCCTTAGGCAAACTAGGAAACATTGTGGCGAAAACATTGTGACTCGCCATGTTTCCTCAAGTCAAGTGTTTCTGTGTTTTCCCACCCGTGGAAACATTGTTGCAGAGACACAATTTGCTTCCCGAGAAGCAGAAATGTTTCCTATCAAGTGCGATTTTTGTTACGCAAACATTGTTTCCAGTGTTTGCCCACCTTGGGAAACATGGCGAAACATTGGCAGGAAACAGTGTTTCCGCAACAATGTTTCCTAGTTTGCCCAAGGCTTAAGACTTCTAATTAGACAACTGCAAGTGAAAAAATCAAACCACAGTCACAGAGGTTCAACGAAATGTCATCAGGACAAGTTTGATTTTGTTCTAGAACGCAAGATTTGAACATCCATTGAAGAAACGCAGTGAGCAAAGAACGGATGTGGCATCTGGATTCGGATTACCAGAGACAAAGTCAAACGGCAAACATGCGTTCTCTCAAGAATCTGCAGAGAAGGAGTTTAGTGGACGCAGGTCCTACTCAACTTATCGGCCGTCGATGAAAGATACATTTCCAGGTAGGAGGTCATTCAACCATCAGCATGGTCAAGTCTGTGTCTCGCGTTGCCACTGGCTTACTCATAGATGTGGAGGAAGAGAGCGGGATGATTTCGTTTCTGTCATAGTGTTGTCTCTGGCTACGTTTACACTGTACCAGATAGCTTTCCGTAGCGACGTAAAAAACACCTATCCGTACCTTAACAGAGCCTGAAATAACAGTTTTTCCGACCAAATGCTGAAATGATCGGAAATTTCGTCCGGACAAATGTTGAAAAAAAATTATCTGTTTTTTTCAAATTATCGGGTTGCCGCTCAGCACAGTGAGTGCAGTATCTATAGTCTTAGATTATCTATACTAGTCTTATATAGACTAATCAAAGTTTCTTCGATCAGAGTATGCTTTAAACAAAGTTTAGTTAACTTAAATGTGTGACAGTGCATGAGTTACGAGTCAGAGTGACTGCTTTCATCGTTGTTAATTTGACGACCTGGAAGATAAAGAATGCGTTTCCTCGACGTTTCGAGCAAAGGCACGTCATCAGGACAGTTAAATAGGCTGTTTATTACAAGTAGAGTGATTTACTGCATGCTTGACAGAATTTACTCAACGGAGGGGATCAAACTAAACTAAAAAATTTCCAACCAAATTTGAAAATTTCCGGTCAAATTTCATTTTGCTTGGAAGTTTTGCCGGACAAATTTAAAAATTATTTCAGGCTCTGCCTTTAGGAACGCTATTTTCAGAGGAGTTATTGCAACGGAGAGATGTTGTTTCGCTCAGCTTCTAAAAGTTGTACATTCCGTGTTGCTACTGGACTAATTAGTTGATTTTTTTTTCGTCTGTAATTTGTCACTAATTTTAACTAAAGGGCCCACAGTAATCGGTGTAAACTGTTGTGGTGTCCCCGCCTCTTGTTCTGTCTCATGTGTAAGAATTGTTGTACTTGTAGTGTGCACGTTTTTTGTTAAGGCGAAGCTAAATAAATAAATTCCGTATCGGACAGATGCTTTTTTGGGCCGCTACGAAAGCTATCCGATATTGTGACACGTGTGAACGTAGCCTCCATTGCTGTTCACATAAGACTACGTGAAAAATATCTCAAATCGCTCTGACGTCATTACGCTGAAAATGGTCTTCTGGCCAACTCGTACAGGGTATAGACTTGAATATTTTATTTTCTCGCTGCAGATGATTCAGCTCTTACGGTCGATGCTACTCCTGAGAGAAATGCAACATTGAAAGCTGGTTTGGAAGCTTTGTTGAGAACGAAGGAACTTGAGAAGGTGAGTCCATGTTTACATGAATGGACACACTCATTTAGCAATCTTTTTAAACAGTAAAGTATATCAAGTATTACAAGTTAGCGCTGGAAGACTTTTTGACGTTGATGATCTAAGGACAATGGAAATCTATATGTTTGTCTTGTAACAAGTCTCTTAATCTGTCCTGTCACATATCGTGTTGTTATTAGATTTGTGTTCGTTGTATAGTATTAGCATAGTTCATGGGGCCGCTTACCCTGGATTCCAGAGCCTTCAGTAAATAATAAATTGAAACGTCGCGAAGGCGCTGGTTCAACGGGACGATTCTTTGATTAAACCGCGCCTATCACAAAACAGAATTAGTGGTTTTAGTACAGAATCTGTACTAAGGGTTTTAGTAACGAATCATCCCGTTGAACCAGAGCCCTCGCGACGTTTCAATTTATTATTTACTGAAGGCTCTGGAATCCAGGGTAGGGGCCACTGTAATTGGTGAAAACTACAAACTGCCAGTGGAACACATAATTATATGTTGTTGTAAATATATTGTTAAATGTAGCATGTTACTTGGCAAAGTTTAATTAATTAATTAAAGGCTACCATGGCTATGCATGTACTATGTGTACATATTTTATAGAAAAGTGCGAAACCACCGTTGATTCCAGCCAATACCAAGAAGAAATCCGTTCTCTTGCCACCAGCGCTTCAGGTAACTACACTAACTTTATTTATACTGGATAATTCTATCAGTTCTAAACTGTTCTCTCCAGAGGTCCAGGTGGGGCCATACTTTGTTTGTGCAGTGTTAAACGAAAAAAGCTGTGTTTTGAGACCAACAATCTTTCTTCTTTCAAAGGCCAAACGAAGAAAAGCCCATGCTGCCGTTCAAAAAAGTGTTAGATTTCCCAGTGAGACTGCACACTTTACAAAAGAAACGACCGCCTCTCGTTTGAAGAAAGTTGAGAAACAAAAAGCGATGGTGAAGGGGGAGATGAGATTTCCCAAAAAGGGTGATGGTGGTGCTGAAGGTGGGGCCGAAGGTGGCGCTGAAGGTGGTGCTGGCCTCACAGTAGTGCCAGGGCAAGCTGAGACGAGGAGTGGGCCTGAAAGCAGACATGAGATAGACCACCAGTTACATGAACGTGAGATACAGAGGTATATATCTTTGTTTCTATCCACATCAATACTACACTGTAGGGTGGAGGGGAGTCCACCCTTTTATTAACCTTGACCAAGATTCCCCCCAGACTGGATACCCCAGTATATCCCTATTCATACCAATCAACATCATACTCTTACACCACAACACACATATTCTACTATACAGTATAACATTGAACAAACTATTTCAACATTCAGACAGCTGTGGCTCGAGGACGAATCAAGAAAAAAGTTACGGTAATATCAAGTTTATATTGTAAATATATTGTTGAATTTTTTATAAAGCTGAGGACCGTTGTAGCAAGGCTGGATAGCGCTAACACCGGATACTGATTGGTCCAACCTTTGTAAAAATGCCTGAGAAACTGTGGTACTACGCATATTGACTCCACCATAATTATAAAAAATGTTAATCTGGGTTATACTGATATAATACTGGGTAAATGTCCATTTCCACTCAAGAAAAATTTCCACCCACAGAAAATGTTCCGAAAATATCATTGTGAAAAGTTGAAAATATTCAACTTCAAAGATTTTTTTCCGAAGGGAAACTTGTGTCTGCCAATCACATTTTACAAAATGTTCTTTCTGCGGAAAATTTTCCTGAGTGGAAATGAGCCTTTATGCCAGTTTTAGGAAGCTTGGTAAATCACTATTCGGTGAATAGCGCTGTCCGTGGAACCGGTCCCCGTTTTATTTCCGTGGTTCTAAAACATTTTTACGCTATATTTAGTGAAGTCATGGACATTCCCAAGACTTTAGTATCTGAGGCTGAAGAAGCAATCAAAATGAAACTAAAGCCAATATTAGATCAAGCACAGGTATATAATAGTGGATAAATTAATTACACATAATGTTGAAAGTTGTAGAAAAGTTAACATTAGCGAAAATGTATACTTCTAAAATCTATCTATTCCAAGAAATATTCATTTCTACGTCTTCTTTACAGGCAGTGGTTGACAATTCCAAATCAAAACCAGTTCAAGAACGTTTTGCAAATATCGCTTCCAAAGTGGTAAGGTAACTTTTTCCTCTTCACGTTCAATCTCGTACCCAGAGTATGCCCGTTCGCAGGGTACTTGCTTCACGGTTGCCTTTCCTCGCACTAGTCACGCCCTAGGCGGATTATTCACTAAAGGGATACCGAATGGTTTTCCGTGCAAGATTGCGTGATCAACGCACGAGGGATGTCGCGAGACTTTCGGAAAGCGTAAAAATACTCGAGCCGCAGGCGAGTGTATTTTTACGCTTTCCGAAAGTCGAGCCACATCCCAAGTGGAAAACCATTTGGTAATTGTTTCATAAAATAACTACAGTGAAACAATGGCATTTTGAGAATCCCGCGAAGGCATTTTAACTCTTCGTGCAGGATAGCCTGATCCTGCACGGCTATTGACCAATCAAGTTGCGCGTTTCACTGTAGTTATTATATAAACCAAATTCCTGCATCAGTCACTGTCATCATGGATAATAAAATAAATGGATAGGACTCTCGCTGACGTAAGCAAAAACAACCTAGTTGCAATCTGTGACGTCACGCGTATTGCAAAGTTCTCTGCATTTTTGTTGTTTCGCTATATTTTCCGCCTTAAAAGAGCAATATTGAAGCATAAACCGGTCTAATTGTTTTAAAAACATGCCTAAGCCACGACAAAGTATTCAAGGTAAATGTTTTTCGTCTTTGTTTTGTATTTTTTTATTTTTGTAGCTACGAAATTGGCGTCCCCAATTTTAACGAAATTTGGGATGCCTTTTTCACTGTTTAATGCTTGAAATATTTGCTAAAATTGACTGGGAATACTTAGAGATTTCATCGTAGAATGGCGTAGTTACATTCATTTGCTCTTTGACTAAAATGTTTAGCTGTATTATTGCTAAACATGCCGTTTTTGAGAATTTGGTTTTCAACTAGGTTTCAACATCCAATCACGCCATCAGCCCATTGAAAACATTAGGTCACGTCAGCTAGTTTCCTATCCATTTATTTTATTATCCATGCTGTCATTAACACCAACGCGCATAGGAATCAATCTGAAACTCTCTACTTTCCTCTTGATAACTTCAGACTATGCAAGAAAATGAGGTTTTGTCAGAAATGATTCTTGATGATCTCCTTCTCGACACAGCTCAAGAATTTCAAAGGTACAATTTCATAGTTTTGTGTGAGCACGTTGGAAGGTGCAGAAAAACTAGCTGCATTATCCTTCACTCTTTCAATTCTAAACATCAGGGGTTGGAGAAAATAGGCGAGCACGCGAGCACTCGCAGGAAATGTTAAACAGCCGCAGGAAATTCGTTTGAATGAAGATTTGCTATTGAAAATTTGAAGGAAACCTTAACATCTATGTCCCACTATGAGCACAACAACATATGGTTGACAGACAGTATTCCTTGAATTTAAAACCAATACCATAGTCAGCTAGAACACTACGCACATGCAGATTTAGCACAAAAATACTCCGTTGGTCTGCAGGAATTTTTTGTCTCCAGGTTATGCTCCCAGAAAGAAAACTATGCCCTGCTAAACATTTTCTTTTAGATTGGAAAGCAGCGATGAAGTTGACAGTGAAACCTCGTATCTGCAAAATAGTTCGACCTTGGAAAATATTTTACAACGGCTGGAAGATTTCGAGGTAATTTCAGCAAATGTCCAATTGTCATTTCAACTCACTTACATGTGAGATGAATTCTTCCACTGTGAGTCCTCTAAACACCACAGGTTTTCTCCCAGTACTTCAGTTTCCTCCTGTAGAAATACTGGACAATGTTTTTGTTGATTTCTAGAAAGAAGAGGAAAGCATAAGACGACATCTAAATCATGTGTCTTACACCGATACATATGAAACCAAACAAAGTCAAAGACGCGATATCAGACAATTCCATCAAGGTGGTATATATTTGCACTTGACACTCTGACCTGGGGCCACAGGCCTTCGCTTGAATCGCACGTTACATACATATATTACTCAGCACACTCCCTTATCAGGTTTTTCAGTGACTGGTTACATTAGAGCAGACCGAGGTAGACTGTGAGCTTACAGATGGCGCTTTAAGCAGCCGCTAGTGGTCCATACCTCATTAATGATCTGCCCCCTAACCTATGTGCCTAACCCACCCTGTCAACTTTCCCTGTGTGGGACGAAACCCACGACTTTCGGCAGAGCGTTGAATTTTACTCTTTTCGCAAGAGGACTGGGTTCTAGTCGCATTGAGAAAGTTCTCACCGAGGCTTGAACCTGCGGCCTCAGAGGTGAAAGGCAAGTGCGCTAGCCACTTGGCCACGATAGTAGATAAATGTGGTGGTCCAGTGTAGATAGTATTTGGCCACCGAAACCACGTTGAGGATAACGAGCAACAAACAATTGTCGCTTTAAAATAATTTATACTTTCCCTAGATGAAAGAGAAAACGTGTTCACGAAAGAAGAAGACAGAACCAAAACGACTTCGGCCGTCAAACCTTCTACGGTGTTTAGACCTGTGGACAAACCTCCGATCCCTTTATTCCTGCCATCAAAAGTCCGGGATAATATATTCTCGTATAGGGAGAAATACTCCCAATATCTGAAGCAAACTAATGCCGAACAGCATGGCACGTTTGATCCATGGCAATTTGTTGAAAGGTGTGTGCAATCTCATCTGCTAACACTAGACCAGTAAAGAATCGTCCTTATTGGATCTCTGTGGAGAACAGTTCAGAACTGATAGAGCTATCCAGTATAAATAAAGTTAGTTTAGTTTAGGTTTCCTCCTGTAGTAACACTGGATCAATAAGAATGATCCTTACTGGACCTCTAGGAAGAACAGTTTAGAACTGATAGAGCTATCCAGTATAAATAAAGTTTATAGATTAGTTTGATTTACAGAAAACGTAAAGTATTTTTATCTACCATTATTTTATCTACTATTAATTATAAAACTATTTTTACTCTGCCAGGATAAGCGATGATATTTTGGAAGAAATAATCTTCGATGTGGCTAACGAATTTACTGGAGCTTGTGACGATGTCACCGAAATGGTATTTAAATCAGAATTTATGAAAGAATGAATGTTTTTAGATCATTTATAAATAAAGTATTTTATATATATAGACAAAAATCGGCTAATGTAGGTGGTATTCTACAGTAAGCTGTCGTGGTTTAGTGAAAAATATATCTCAAATGTGGTGGCCCGGTGTAGGTAGTATTCTACAATAAGCTGTTGTGGTTTGTGTCTGAACAAGCCGTCAACAAGTTGTCTTCGCACTGCTTGTCACAAGTTGTCAACAAGTTTGGAACAAGCTGTTAAGTAGTTATACCCCCCCCCCCCGTACAGGGTACATTTTTCCCGCCAAAAACGTCGCCATTATTTTTTCCATCAAATGACGTCATACCATGCATGACATCGCGTTTATAGGTCAATTTTTTTCTTATGCGTACTGTGCGTACACGCATAATTCGGTATCAATACATTCTTAAATATTTACAATTTACATATCAATAAAAATGTTATATTCTCAAAATAAACCTGGATCATAATAAAACTTCGACAATTTATTTTTAAATTATAACATGTCTTTTCAATTGTTCGAGTTGATGATATTTCGGAACTGAGTTTTGTTCCTTCGATATCAGTATATTCTATGATATGATTATTTTGTGTGTGTTTGGTGTAATGTACTCAGGTGAATATGATGTTTGTGATGTTACTCTGAGTGACAAATTGACAATTTGGTAGTACTAAATGGGCGAAGGCGTATTTACTATATATTGGATAACTAGGATAAGTTGCAGGAAACTGTGGGTAATATCTTCATTCTTTGCAGTTTGTCATGGATAATGTAGCCGCTTAAAATTAATAAAGCTTAAAATCGATCAAGGTCTGCATGATTTTGAAGTCATGCAGGCCTTGAAATCATGCATGATTTTGAAATCATGCTACGGTCCTGCGTTTTCTGTCATTCATGTTTTCACACAAAAACGGATAAAAACGAGGTCAATTGCCAAACGTCATGGAAATGTTTTCCTATGGACTGTGTGAACAGAGCGTCAAATGAATTTTGCTTCTTTGTTATAGATGACGAGATAGTTGATAGATTCTCAATCTCGTTCCCCCAGCCTGCGATCCTCGGGAAGGCTCGGGGAACGAGATTGATAGATTCTAGACCTTTTTACCATTGTTGATCCAAATATTTCCAAATTCAATAAAATCATATTGGTGATTTTTTCACCGATTATTTTTATGACCCCCTCCATTTATACCAAAACTATAAAAAGACCCACCCCTTTGAAGCATGTCAAAATTGGCTGACCCACCCCCAAATTTCTCCGGCCCCCCCCCCCCCCCCCAGCTAAAAAATGAATGCTCCCTTAGAGATTTTTGGAAGGAAATTTTGTGGAAAAAAAGGAAATTTCGGGTTATGGAAAAGGAAATTATTTTTTTGGGAGTGGAAACACTGCTCCCCAGGCTCTTATCACAATTGCAAAATGGCGGTCTAAAAAGTTTTATATCAAATTCTTCAGTAAAGCCGCAGTTTTTGCAAACTCACCATGATTTAATAAAGTTGAGAGACTGTCTATATTTGGAATATGAATCAGGTTAACTATGTGGGAAGGAGAGATAAATAATGGGCAAATATACAGCTCGCAATATGTAAATCACGAACAAGACACAAACTTCAATTTGTATATGGGGCCAAATGGTAATAATTTGCAACAGTTTAATACAGGTGACACTTTGAATCATTTTCTTGGACAATTTGAAAACAACGCTTTATTTGCGCCACAAATTATGCAACATTCACGTTTTCAAAAATGTCAAGAATTCTACCGAGTGGGTCGTGCAGAAATTATCAATACAAATATTGTCCCACAGAGTCAGTATGGAGCTGTCGTGAGTCATCAGGGGAATAATATTGAAGTTGATCAGGAAGCAATGTTTAGGTCAACAGGATTACCATATGGAAATATAGGGATCACGAGCTATGGCCAGAGTGACGTTTTCTGGTAAGGTGACAACAAATAGATTTGGTCAGGGATTGCTGGTTTTCCTATCATAAAGGAAGAAGTTTTACTGCATGGGTTATTACCACGATCTTTACAACAGTCATCTGTACAACCATCAGTATCATCACCATCATTAACACCACCACTATTATCACCATGCCCACCACCATGATTACCAACATCACCATGACCACTACCATCACCACCATGATTACCAACATCGCCACCACCATGACTACTATCATCACCATGATTACCAACATCACCATGATGACTGTGATCACCACCATGATTACCAACATCACCATGATCACCACCATGATTACCAACATCACCACCATGATTACCAACATCACCATGATGACCATGATTACCAACATCACCATGATCACCAACATGATTACCAACATCACCACCATGATTACCAACATCACCATGATGACCATGATCACCACCATGATTACCAACATCACCATGACCACTACCATCACCATGATTACCAACATTACCACCACTATCATCACCATGATCACCACCATGATTACCAACATCACCATGATGACCATGATCACCAACATCACCATGATCACCACCACCATGACCACTATCATCACCATGATCACCATCATGATTACCAACATCACCACCATGATTACCAACATCACCATGATCACCACCATGATTACCAGCATCAGCATGATTGCCACCACCATGACCATTATCAGCACCATGATCACCAATGCCATGACCACAGCTAGTCATCGTCACCACCATGATATCATTGTTTGTTTATATATTTTAGCAACTTTGACAATATTCATGCAGTGAAAAGGAAGGCTGAAGAAGATTATAGGTACAAACATTTTCCTATCATCACCATGGATAAATTGAATAATTAGACCAGTCAGTCAGTGCTAAAAGTAAAACTGTTGTAATCTTTCCAGTCCATTGTACTGTGGAACAAAACGCAGGATCACAGACGAGCACATGGCAACAGGAATGAACAGTCTTTACATCACTAATGATCATAATTATTGTGGCAGCGCTGCAATGTTTAATCCTAACGATGACCTCAATATGCAGTTCAGCACAATATCAGATGATGACATGCAGGATAATGAAGGAAATATTGAGGATAATGTTGATCGGGAGAAAAGGTATGGCTAGGAAATAAAAGCCTTTTCTAGACTAATATTCAAAAAAATTTGGATTTGTCTGTAGGTTTCATTTTTTGTTGTCTTTAAGGAAAGAGCGTCCTGTCTTTCACTTTACTGCACCTCTGGAACAAATGTTGAAAAGGAAAATTAACATACTTCCACCTAAAATCATTCAAGAAATGTAAGTGCTGTTACTATATATGTAACCCAATTCACATTTTCAGATAACTCACATGGGGGGCCTATTATAGTTTCGCGGTTATGCGGTTTTAGCCATATTTTGAGGTCGGATTTCGGTTATATCCAGTTATTTTGTACGGTTTGCGGTTAACTGGAAATCGTGCGGAGACGGAAAATGTCGAAATTAGCCCTCCGGATTCGGTTATTGACCAAAATAAATCGCGGTTTTCGGATAGTTTTTAACACGCGGTTAGGAAATATTTTACAAGCTCATGGCAATAATTCAGTTCATGGCATTCACTCTTCCGATCGCGCGCGTGTGCTGTTTCACTGCAGGGCCTCGAAACGGACGAAATCAAATGGGCAAAGTGGCCGGGCTATTAGTAAAATCAGGAACACGGAACACCGGAACAGCATCATTCCGGAATACGGAACACCAGAACACCAAAAATTCTTAATTTGTTAAAAATTCGAGGAAAAAAATTACCGGGGGTTGTAAAATTCAGTTGCAGGGAAAATTATTCCGTAAAAGTAAAACATGCCTTTAAAATAGTCTGACTTGCCGATTGCTTCTAATTACGATTTGAAATCAGTCTCAAAGTAATAAATATTCGGCCCAAAAAGATGAAATCAAACCTAAGCAACTTGATTGCATGTTTCTCGCACACAAAACATAAGCAGTGATGGAAGGAAAACCTTTTTATAGCTATTTGAACTGCTAAGACTTCGTACTTATACTACCAAATTCGCGTGAAACCTGTGAACGGCTCCCTCTTCAACACTCCAATAGAAATGGCGACTACGTACTGACTATTGGACCAGGTCTATTGCCTCACATTATGTTGCGGCAGTGGCGTGCTGGCAGGGGGGGGGGAGCTGGCAATTCTTGGGGGGCGCAAAAATGTAAAGGGGGTGCCGATCCCGCGCCGAATTTTGAAAGTGGGTGGGAAGAAACGCATTCGAAAAAATATAGTTACTTCCGCCAAGAAAAGATGTGTTTATACGCTTATAAACAGACTAAGCGCATAGGCGAGAAAGTGATATATTAAATTACAGACTATTTTGTCTAACCGTATTTGCTAATTTGCTACCTCACGGCTCACACGAAATCGTTCATATAGAAACATGACATAATCAGTGATCACACGCAATGTCTCATTACCGGAATATTGATCAGGTTTCGAAGCGATCACGGGAATTATGCCCTTTTTTGCTGGTGTTATACCCTTATATTATGCCCTTTATTATGCTTCACGAATCACGAGAGCGGCGAAAATTAGATAGTTGAAGTTATGATAATGTAAAGTTGTGTACGCAATTTAGTTGTTTGCGCAAGAAACATCATGAGTAATGTAAGTAATGAAATAATGATGAAACGGGCCCTTTTGGCAGCCAGGCAAGGAAACCTTAAAATGCATATGCGTGGGTTCTGTGTGTTATTGTATAAAAGAGCTGTAAGTTGTAAATGTATTCAGATCAGTAGAGAATAGAATTGGGATTAGATTAATTGCTGGAGGTAGTTAACATATTGCCTAATTTAAGTACTACTACTAAACTCTAACCAAATTGCAAATTTGACACGTTATAAATCGACACGTTATAATGCCGTTTCCTAACCATTAGATTTCCGTCAAATCTTCCCCCAAAATCCAGGAAATGGCATTTCAGAGACTCTAAATTCAAAAATTTTCCTGGTGCGCATGTCCCCGGACACCCCTAGACAAACCTCACACCTGCAGCGCTCGGCTCGTGCCTTCGGCCCTCGTTTACCAAGCGTCACATTATAGGGCGCATATTGGTTGCCAGCCCACTGCCCCCCCCCCAGAAAAATAGTACCCAGCACGCCACTGTGTTGCATGCGGAATATACTATTTTGCGAAATATGTTACATATGCCTCGGTTTGAACGCGGTTACGTTTAAAAGAGAAATGAGTGCGCGGTTTGCGGTTAAAATTTGAAAAACAGCGCGGTTTTCGGATATGCGTACCCCCTATAATAGGCCCCCCACATGCCTAGTTACCACTGTTCTGATAATGTAAGCATAGAATGGAACAAAGATAACCAAGTTTTTTTTAATTATATGTGAGTGAATTGATAACTCGCATGCTTATAGTTACCATTGTTCTGATAATGTAAGCATAGAATGGAACAAAGGTAACCAAGTATTTAAATTATATATGTGAGTGAATTGATAACTCACATGCCTAGTTACCACTGTTCTGATAAATATTATGTAAGCAAAGAATGAAACAAAGGTATCGCCCCATGTAAGGGAATCCAGAATCCGACTCTTAATAGCTTTGCAATCCAGAATTCAGACATCCAGAATCCAAACATCGGAGGATCCTTATCATGGTCCAATTTTCCGAAATCCAGAATCCACAACCGATCTGGAATCCGGAATCCAAGGAGTGTGGAATCCGGAATCCAAGGAGTGGAATCCGGAATCCAAGGAGTGGAATCCGGAATCCAAGGAGTGGAATCTGGAATCCAAGCATATGGTGTGCATGTTAGCTGATTAGGTCTTACAAAAGGGTTTACATCCGCATATGCAGAGATCTTATTCGATTAGTTGGCTAACTAGGTCTCCATGATTACAGCTGCAAGCCATGCTTGGCTATGGTTCCTTGGACTCCCCCACTGCATGACAAATCACAGATCACTGATGAACGCCAAGCAAAAAAAGTATGTAATGATAACATGTTATAACTTGTGTTGGTAACATTTTGGATACAATAAGTTATTAAAGTTATTTTCTGTATTATTTTCTTCATAACCAGGTGGGAAAGAAGAGTTCCACACAGGAAGAAAATGAAATGGAGGATGACAACTTCATATCATAGATGACAATAGCCACATTTATATTAGAGATTGATCATCTGTCAAGAAGAATCTTGTGTCAGAATGAGCATCCTGTTCTTCCATCTAAAGATGTACTATCCAGATGAACTAGCTAGAATAACATGATCTACATGTATACTGGCAATAGTTCTGGGAACAAATCTTGCCTAGTATATTGTCTAATGCCATATTTATACATGCAGCATGCCAAACTACACATTCGATAGTTGCAGTTGATTTCACATGTTGCAAACTTTGTTCCAAAGTTTGTTGCGAAGTTCAGAAGTTTATAATCATATTCACAAGCCATTTGTAAACAATGCATTTGATTGGCTTCTTTTAGTTCAGGGGCCAATCACTCGGCAATCAGAGGCATTGTTTACAATCCAGTTTACAATAATAATAATAATAATAATGAATTTCAATATTTCAATATGAACTTTTGAATGTCACAACAAAGTTCACAACATTTAGGGAAAAGTTATGTGAAATCAACTGTAATCTTACTGGATAGTTCATCTTTCTGAATGTTCAGTGTTCACCATGTTTCTACAATACCAGAAACGTTCATCGAACGGATTATCTTTTTCTCTAATATAAATCGAGCCCATAGAATGAAGGTATGAAAGCTAAAGCATTTCAAATTAAGTACGCATATAGTCGCTTGCAGCATAGTTAATATATAGCCAGTCACTGGGATAAAAACACACAAACTCTAATGTATTTAAAAAGATGGCGACAATAGTGCATCTATTGCACTGGTCATCTCAACACAGTTCCCACAATCCAAGAGGAAACAATATTTTATAATTAACTACAATCTGAGTTGGTGTCCTCTGAAAACTGCCTTTAAGTTAATTAAAGTTTAGCATTAATATAGTAATGTCTCCTAGTTTCTTAACTGGCAAAACTGTCCGTATAGTTTAGTGTAATAGTGTCTCTTTTGTTGTCCGAACAAAATTGTTTCTAAAGTTTATTAAACAATCTGGAAAGACAGAGAATCAACAATATGGACATGCCAATCATGTTGCCTTGCGGCCTGCCTTAAGAGCCCGAAGCCGACTAGCCAAACGTTCGGTGCTGCTTTTCTCAGTTTCCGAAGTAGTCTCATCCCTGAACACACTTCCCTTCGAGGCCTCAAATGCAGAGTCACTACTGACTGACGTCCCCCCATGTGACCGGCCACTTTCACTCTGCGCATAACTAGTACTTGGTGTAACATTCTCTAAAGACCCACGTTGGGTCCCTTGTTTTGTCATCTTTTTCAATACTTGTACCAACGCATTTGGCGAGACATTAATCTGAATTAAGTCCAAAAGTATTTGAAATACATCGGGGTCCAATGTTACACCGCTCAGGTTACACAGCTCGTACAGTTCTTGTTCAACATGGAAATTGCCTCTCGGTTTTAGCCGTTCAGCGCCTCGGGAAACGTTTACACGATAAAGGTCTGTTGTTGATTGAGATTGGGACATCTTGGTGGATTAAATGTGAGCGAGGTAAAATTTTAGGTGTCTTTTCAAGCGTTGAATTGTACAATAATTGTTAAATAACTTTAACTTTTCATTTCGGCCGCCATTTTGTTTTGTGACGTGTGATAAAGTTGGATATCTGGGGCAAATAAGGGTAAAAATTGGATCATGTTTAGCATTTTCATGGGCAGTATAGGGTTTTAAGGGGACCGTTTGACGGAAGAGATTATTTCGCTGGCCAGAGTGACAAAACGCAACAAAGCAACGATTCTACTGACAGGGGGGCCCTGACACTAACCCTACTCCAAACACCAACTCATAAACCCTAACCTAACCCTACTCCAAATTTGTTTCTAAACCAATCTTAAAGAAAAAAGTTTTGACGAAAAATTAATATCCCACGGGAGTTCCACGGTCTGTTTACAACGGGAAACTACAGTAGTACAGACTTTTACGTCTTGGAAAACGTCTGTAAATGCATGAAAACGAGGCTCTATTAGGCTCTATAGCTCTATTAGGCTCTATGCTCAGACTGACAATTTTGCTCAGTTTGAGACAACATATTTTTTTCCGAAATGTTTTTTTTAGAAAACTTTGACATTGCTAGGAAACCATGCTTCTTCGTTTTCCCCACCCTCTGGAAACATAGCTGGGTCCTAGGAAACAATTTTTTTATTTACCTCTAAAAGTTTCGCCTCCGTGTGATAGTATAATTTTAATTTCTTTTCGTTTTTAATAACACAGAAGGTTTAATTAATAAAATATTGAAAAACATTTAGTATAATGTTATATAAACTTATAGAATTAAAAATGAAAATATTTTAAAATGTTTGTTTAGTTTGCCTAGAAACATGACGGAAGCAATGTTTCCTGGTCTGCTCGCCTTCGGGAAACATGGCTAGGAAACAATATTCCCTGAAAATTGGTAAAATCGGGACATTTCGACAATCCGTACATGCCAATCTACGGCAGTGGATCTAATGTAGTAACGATAGCCGAGTTTTTTCCGGTGACTTGGCTCAGCAAACAGAATCTAATTTTCTAGTCCACTGCATGCGGAAGTTATGCCCATATCGTACGGAATTTCCATGTGGCAATTCAGCTAAAAATAAGTCGCAAACAAAACGCTCCATATGTCACTATCGTTTGTGCTATCGTGCTTGACGCCCACCTTGGCAACTGTGCAAAAATTTGAAAGTCAAATTAAACATATCTTAGATGGTTTTTTTACTCCAAACAAAGAAATCCTCAAATCTCTGTGTTGTTTGTATGTCTAGCAAATACCGTATAGTAATTGTAAGGCTAAAGTTGTGAACAGTTGGGGTTTGAATTGTGTTGCTGCCACGCAAAAGATGCTATTTTGAATTGAGAATTTTGAGTAAATATATATTGCCTGTATGATTGAAATATAAGCGGTTGAATATTCGCGATGTCTAATTTTTTGACCACTTTGGATTTGCGAGTTAGCGAGTGCAAGGGACTGCCTGCAAAAGATCTGTAAGTACAGTTCTGTTGTGTTGTTATTTTTTTTTCTAAATATCTTTGCTGAAGTTTAATTAAAATGGTCAAAACTGTGCATTAGATTCGAATTAAGATAGCCGATAGGACACGAAATCCATGGCGGCAAATTGCATGCCCTTAGTAAACTGCAATTACTTTGGTCGTAAAAAAGCTTAACAAGCGTATATAATACAAAAGTACTGTAGGTGTATTCGTATTGAATTGAATTGTATTGAATTCAAAAGCATATTGAAGAGATGTCAATATAGAACGTCGGTTATTGATGTGCAAATGATTCATTATGTCTCAAAGTTTCAAATATAGTTCTGCCCGCTATGTACTATCTATTTATACAGCTTGTATGAGAACTTCTCTTTATATTATAGGATATGTAGTATAGTTAATTTAATGGGTTAGTCGGTTGTGGCAGGGATGTTATCTGCTAGCGTTTCCGTTAATTGTAGTCGGATTTTTTCGTCGTGTCACGGTGTCCATATTCGTACGTCCGAGACATACTGGGTACGAGATTGAAACGTACTCGTGCCCAGGTGCCCATTCCAACATCGTCCATCATATTTTGTCCACCAATGTTGGGTGAAAATTTTGAATAAATCTTCGGCCAACTTTACCGAAGATATTAATACTATTCAAACACCTGGATTAGATAAAGATGTTTTCTTATTTAACCTATTGCATCCATCGCATCCAAATATTTTAATAATTAATATATGAGGGTCCTGAAGGGGGGGGGGGG